AAACAAGGTTATTTTCAACCTTATGGTGATCTGTGTTAGTTATTTAAATAAAACCGAAGGCAATTAGGTTACATCAGAATCAATGCCATATAATTCAGACCCAGTCAGTCATGTAAATGGGGGGCCTCCCTCACAGGTTAGGTCTTCAGTGCAAACACGTCAAGTATCTTGCTCATTATTCAGTGTTTGCCTGTTTTCATTCATTCCTAGCACTATTTTATCTAAGATTTTAGCTTTTGAATTTTCTATGTCATAACTCAGCACTGCTTTTGCTTTCAAGTTAAGAAATGTGAAAATAATTGAACATTTTTATCAAAGTATTTCATGTTTATTTTTTACCTTAATCTATACTCTGCTATGATTAATGGGCTCCAACCAATTTTCTTGTAATAATACGAAATTTGTCTCTTCCATGATTGCCTTAAAAGAAGCAAACCAAGTTGTACGTCTTTCTCTTGCTAATCTTTCATGTTCAGCTATTGGTATTTTTAGCCCAGATGGTTGCATTCCTGACTATCGTAATGCTTTCTTTTGAGTAGCAACAGTTTGCCTACCTGTCATGTATTTTCTAAATTCGTAATGGCTTCCATGATTTATATATACTTACTGAATAAGCTCACATATCTATGACACTTGATAATATCTGTGTCTTTTAAAATCTTTCTTATGATGCAGTACCGTAGTACCTGTTGATACCCCACAGCTGAATATCTCAGGAAAACCTGAGTGAATGCTGTACTGTTTTCCTTATTTATTTGCTTGAAGGAAACAGTTTCAAATGTAAGGTCTGATCAAAATCTGTTGAACCTAATGAAAAATCTCCTATTGATTTTAGCATGCTTGGATTTTATAGAGAGCCTTTATGCCAAAGGAAGACGCTGATCATTGTTTAGATACGGTAAAACAATATCTTTCATTTTTCCTATTAGCGTGTGGGTGGTTCTAACGTAAGCTTAAAGATGTTTTATTTTTAGTTTTTGCATTTTTCCCATTTACATGATGATGCTATTTTCTTCGACTGCCTTTATAAAGTACTTAGCATGAAATATACCACATAAATAAAGCCATTGTTAACTGTCGTGCTTTTACAAAAAGTATTTCTTTCTACTTAAAGATAAAGGATAGAAACGAATGTGAAGGTAGAAAAATGTATTTTATGACACTAAATTCTTAGCACCATCAATCACAGTAGTTTCATTGTTTTTCATAAGTGAAAAGCTTTGCTTTGTCTTTAAGGTAATTAAGTGTTAAATCATGGAGTGCAAGTTCACGTAAGACATTCCAATAAATGTGCACTATTCTTTCCATATCCTGTAATACATTTCAGATATTCTTACAAGAGCTGTGCAGATGAGTGGGGTTGCATTTTGGGACTCCTACATCTGGGAACACTGCGGGAAAACATAATTATGGGTAAATGGAGCGCTTTTGAGCTACCAAAGATATTCTTAGAAAGATGAAGAATAAAGAGAGAGCCTATATTTAGTTCATTCAAATGAATTCTATGAAGTAAAATGATGCTTTGCAATTATTCTTTTAAAATGTCTTTGAAAATGCCCTTGATTCTGAATTCTGATTTTATTTAAAATTTCAATGTCCAACAAGGCTCTTGATGTCTTTACACTGCCATATATAAAAAATAATTCCATTTTACATTTTTCAAGCTTAGATTATAGAAAGCATTCATAGTAAACAGTAACAATCACTTGAAACAAGACTTTCAAAAGAATTCAAGCTTTCTAGAAAGACCTTTTAAAATTAATGAAGTTTGTGCGTTGGTCTTCAGTTTGTTTTGTATGAGACTCCTAGAATGTTTAGTGCTGGTATAAAGGCAGCTATGTTACATTTAGCTCCTAATTGTTAAGTGTTTTCCTGATGACTTCAAAGCTGTAGGTTGTCCATCTTGAATGGACATTTGCAGCTCTCGAAAGACTACTAGCAAAATGAAGTTATTATCATCTTTTTATTACAAAACTTTAGGTTTTCAATAATTTACAAAAATAAATGAATAATATATTTATGGCACATGTTAGCAATACCCCCAATAGTTTACAATTCCATTATAAATATTTTATAATATTTTTGTGATAGGCATTATAGACGCTAGTACATTGTCTATTAATTATAGATACAGTGAGAATCAATAGTGATGCACAGCTATTTGTTATTCTAGTGCTTTGGGAAAAATGTTATCATAATGGCTAAAAGTTGTACATGTACTTGTAGAGGAGGAGTTTATCCTCTTGGCTAAAGGCTGATGATATGATTTTTTTTTTTTCATTTTCCATTTATAAGAATGTAAATAATCCTTTAGGGCAAACACTATTATTAATGGTTGTACCTATTATTTTACATACATGCCTTTAGTTCTTTAAAGCACATTCAATATATGTAAGTGTTTATCTAATTATGTATTATGTAAACACATACTTGTAGGTAATGTGTAAATGAGTATTAAATTATTTTAAAATAATGCCTATTTATGTGGAATACGGTTTTCTAGCACTTTCTGCATAGCACCTTTTCTGGAGGAAAGATGTCCTAAATAGGTGGTGCTATGAGGTCAGCTCTCCTCTGCTGGCAGCATTAGTGCCTGTCACAGCGGTGCCTGTATTAGCACACAGGCTGTCTGGAGACCCTGAGAGCCTAGACTGCAAGCCTTACACTTTTACTAGGGTGCTCTGAATGAGGCTGCCAGTAACTCTTGTACCCTGCAGATAAAATCTTGTTGTGGTTTTAGGATGACAGTATCATTTGGCAAGTGCTCAGATCTCATCAAGGCCAAATGTATTCCTATGCTACCACAAATGTGAAAATCTAGTTTTCCATGTATTTTTCAATCACTCAAGCTTGAAGTCAAACAACTGCTGCCTTCTCAAATGTTTACTATCCATGAACTTGTAGTTGAAGTAGTATTTACAGAGAGGATAACAAACTGTCTGGTTTAAATAAATTTGACTATGATTTATTAACTGTTTAAAACATTCTTGAGGGAAAAGTACCTTTTTTGCAACTGATACGCAGCATTATGCAAAATATTCGTGTGACATTTGACAATGAAAGTTTTTCTATAAGCTTTTTTGTCTTCCTTTTTTATCAATTACACTCTATATTAGCTCAAAAAATCACATTTGTATCACTGACCTTTTTAATTCAATGCCTTCTGGTTTGTATTTTTTTTTTTCCTACAGTAAATGTGGCAGTGCAGTTATTGAAGTCAGCAGTTTCAGGGGAAATGCTGGTGAACTCATTAAGAGCACTGCCAGGTGCTGCCAACCCTGGGTGTCAGCCCACTGGATAGCAAGATATAAATAACTCTTTGTGGAAAAATTGCAGGCTAACAAATTACTTACCTTGGGCAAAGCTAAGCCAGTGTGCTGCAATTTGCTTTGCTGCTTAATTTTCTGCTAGTCCAAATGAGGGGAGACTCTGCCCCTTCCTAGAAGGTGTGAATCAGATTAGTGGCTGCCTCTTTACCAAAAGATTCTTCCAGAGGTATGTGTGCAAAATAGGCTATGCACCTGTTTCTTATTAATTTTCCCTCTCTGTAGCCAGGCTAGTTACAAGTGGGATTCTGTGACTACAGAATTCTTAAATTCTCTAAACTTTTAATATTGTTTCCTGTTGATTTTAGTATTCACCTACTTGAGAAAGTAGTAAGAATAGCAATGGCAAAGCGTTTACATGTAGCTCCACAGAGTCGGAAGGAGAGGGAGAAGAATTTTTTTCTGATCTCTTTTACTCCTGAATCTGTATTTTGGAGCTCAAAAGTGTAGGTACTACTGGTGATTCAAGGGACTAGAATTTAAATAAAGTAAATAACATTATAAATTTTACCAAAACATCTTGAAAACTACACCTTTGAGTTTGAATGTTATTTTACGTAGTAAATATTTTTTTATTTACTGTGAGCCTTCTGTTTTTTTGTTTGAAGAATGGGATTTATTCTGTATGTTTGTATTTTTGTCCTAGAAGTCCTAGTCTACCTTGGCTGGCACATCCCTGCTGTAGATGCAGTGTGATAACACTGATTTTTCAGGGAGAGGAATATGTTTTAATTGTACTGAATGCTAGTCAAGTGTGAGCATTCTCAGCTGTGACCTCATAACACACAGAACAGTGAATGGCAGTCAGTAGTTTTGAACTTTGTGAATAGGTGAAAGAAGCTATTTTTCAAATAGCCGATGATTCAGCTGGGTTATGAAACATCTGGCATCTACACTTAAGCTATTCACACAAATTGGAGAACTATCTCATCTCCATCCTGCCTGAGAAATGTGTCTCCTTTAACAGAAAACATTCATGTGTGCTTAGGGGACTGTGGTCACACTTGATTAAAGGTCATGACAAATTGTTTGTCCTTAATTTGTTTCTGAAGTCCCATGATATTTAGTTTCTCTTCCAAACTGAGTAAAAGAGTTATAGATCTTCTTTAGAGTCTTTGCAAATGGCTTTGAGATGCAATATGCTCAGATAAGAAATCTGTAAATGGGATAAGTCTGATATAGATGCTGGTATAGAGACTGGGTCAGGGTAATCTCAGAAGGAACCCTGATCCCCACACTAATAGGGCTGCAATCAGCAATATGGAGCTATTAGCTAGCCAAGGAGTAGAAAGGGGGGCAAAATATATGAGGTGTTGACAGTTTTAATTCAGTAAGAAATTTATATTAAAAAATGTATATTGAAAGTATGTATAAATGGAGTCTGACTTACCAGATGTTACTCTCAGCAGTACTCTTAAGAATGTGTCCTACGCTTTCCACTGGTTGAAATTAATAAGTATTCTTATCATTCTGTGTACTTGCTTATCAGCAGATTTCATGTAGATCTTATCTATTAGTCATAGTGTTTGACTAAATTATCATTCCTTGTGCTTATTTTAGAAGTCTGGTCTTGGAAGATGCTCAACCACATATCTTCCTAGTTTTAAGTGATTCTTGTTTGAGTGACACTGTCAACTGTTTTGCACTTAACTGTCATCTTGTTTCCCTTTTCTCTTTTCCATTTACTTTTTCTTTTCTGCTTTTTCTTTTTTTTTTTTTTTTTTTTTTTTTTTTTTTTTTTTTTTTTTTTTTTTTTTGTTTGTTTGTTTAATTAAAGGTTATAAGTCATTTGGAATATAGAGGACATGTAAAAAATAAAATCCAGGAGATTGGCAGTTATATTACCAATAAACAAGAGAAAATATTCCAAAAATAGAGTTTAGAGACGGGATAAGTTCCCTGCATGAAGGCTCTAAGCCCAAACCAGTGGTCAGTGTCTATTAATAGTTAGCATTTAACATTTTCTATGGCTTGGGATGGGAAAACAATGCTGTACCACACTTCAAATTAGTTTATTTATTTTCAGAACTCTTAACATTAAAAATATGGTAATTCCTCTCTGTGTGTTTGGAATTCCACTAAGCAAGTCTAGCAATTTGTGATCATTAATAGGCAAACCTGTTAATTCACTGTGTCAGTATCAGCAGAGGTGTTTCTTCATTTGTATTTGTTTGCATTATTTTGTGCCCCAAGTGTAAAAATGTGAATTTTATATCACAGCAAAAAAGCAGCTCCCCCAATATATATTTTTAATGTGTTTATGTTTCACTTAATCATACACAAAAGAGCACACAACAAATGTATGATAAAAGGGAAAATGGACTATCCTCAATAAATAAAAAGAGACACTGAATGGTTTCTTACTGTCCACTGCATACTGTCCGTTCCTTTTAAAGGGATACCATTCAATTTAAATCCTGATAGTTATTGTAGTTCCTCATGGAACAGGCTGATTTAACATCCAAACTTAAGGGTTAGCATGTGGTCTATTGATCAGAATTCTAAATGTACAGATCATGCCCTTTGGAATGCATTGCCAGATATTTTATTTGTAGTCTATCTGAACCAAGAGGTTCAGGGATATGAAAACTATGAGAACCCTCCTTTCACATTTATCAGAAGAGGCACACTCTCTTTGGCCTGCCTCTTCTGACATATATACTTGTAGAACTCCTCTTTGTTTTTAACACCCCTCTCCAGGTTCAGTTCCATCTGTGCCTGGGCTTTCCTAATCCCAACTCTACAAGTCCAGACAGCATCCCTGTATTCTTCCCAGGTGACATATCTATGTTTTCATCGGCTGTACATGCTCTCTTTTCACTCAGTTTGACCAGCAGGTCATTGTCAAGCTATGCTAGTTTCCTGCTTCCTCTGCCTGTTTTCCTGTACTGGGGAACAGAAGGCTCGTGTGTTTTAAGGGCATCCTTAACGTGCTGCCAGCTCTGTTCTGTTCCTTTGTCCCAAAAAATAGTTTCCCACAGGATATCATCCAGTGATTCCTTAAATGGCCTGAATTTCACTCTCCTGAAGTTTAGAGTCCTGATGTCAATCTTTGTGTGGCCAATGTTAATAGAGATCAGAAATTCAGCCAGAGAATGGTTGCTGCAGCCTAGGCTGCCTCCAGTCTTAATATTTTACTAATAATTTCCTCTGTATTGGTGAGCACCAGATCCAGTAATGTTTCAACCTCTGGTTGGTCAGTCCAATATCTGAACCAGAAAGTTATCAGCTCGCCATGTTGGGGGTTGTTAAAATCCCCCATCAGGATGAGCGCTTGTGAGTGCAACACCTCTCACAGCTGAAGTAAGAAGGCTTTGTCAATAGTTTCCCCTTGATCAGTTGGCCTGTTGTAGACCCCGGCTACCATCTGACTTCTATTGGTCCCATCCCTAATCTTAATCCACAGGCTCTCTATCTGTTCCTGACTGTTTCTCAGAGGGAACTCCTCTCAGTCTGTCTACTTTTTAACATAGAGGACAACTCCTCCACCTCCTACTCTGCCTATCCATTCTAAAATGCTTATAGCCCTCAGTGATGGTATTCCAGTGATCGTATCCAGCAAATCATCCTACTATGTTTCTGTAATAGCAACAAGATCAGATTTCCAGAGGTGGCGTCAGTTTCTAACTCTCCTTACTTGCTGTATGTATTGATGTAGAGGTACGTCAGCTGGGCTTTCAGACACATTACCTTCCTAGAGGAGCACTCCTACACACCACATAGTGGCACAACTTAAGTCAGGAAGTTAGGAAATGCTCAAGACAGATGTGTTTGAATACTTATACCTGAGAAGCATTAAGAAGAATTCTGTCATTGCCCTCGTGCACAAGCAGCTGCCTGCATCCCTTGAAAAAACAAGATAAATCTCATTGCTCTGTTTTGAGAAAAAGCCATTGAAGAGAAGCAATAGTGGTTTTCAGTTTTTACTATATCTCATAGAATCATGTCATAGAATGGCCTGGGTTGAAAAGGACCATAATAATCATCTAGTTTCAAACCCCTGCCATGGGTAAGGTTGCCAACCACCAGACCAGGCTGCCCAGAGCTACATCCAGCCTGGCCTTGAATGTATCCAGGGATGGGGCATCCACAACTTCCTTGGGCAACTTGTTCCAGTGCGCCACCATCCTCTGTGTGAAAACCTTCCTATCTCATTGATTCCAGCATGCATCTTGGATGTAAGAAACCCACACTTAGTTTTTTATTAATCTTAATGTTACAACTTGCATCTTTCATATTTGCAGGCATAGTTTCTCTGAAACTTTTGCTCCAAATAGCCAAGATGTAGAATGATGAAATAGTTTCCAGAGCAGTTAATTAGTCAATTATTTAAATGCTTGTATGGTCACTTTAACAAGTTTATCAGTCATTTTCATTCTTCAGATTAATGGTATTGGTCTTGATGATGCAACAAAAATCATTACCTGCTGACTTACGATGTATGATGGGCTCTTTTCATCACCCCTGCCAGGTTACCATGTTCCCTAGGTGTGGGAAATAACAATTCTGTTACATCAGAACTGTGCTGTGGTGGGAGGCCTTATCACATACACTTGTAGCTTTGACTATTGCACTAACAGTTTAAAAAATGTTTTGGCCACACCTACATTGATTTTTTAAGTTCTAATAACAAAAGAGAAAAATGTTTCTTTCATGTGTAACTTATTTAAAACTGAAGTTGTCATACAGTATTTAATTAGATTCATTATTGTGAGCAAAAAGTATGTAAGATTGAAGTTCACAAATTAGCAGCTCAGCTTTGGCTGTCATCACTTGGTGTTATTGAAGGTGGTATTACGAACTCTCCTCAGTAACGCCTCCATCTCTGTGTATTTGTAGCCTGAGCTTAGCAACGTAACTTGCAAGCAAATAAAAGACTTGAAATAGGGCTTGTTTGTAGATCTGTGTCAGGTGTTGTACTGCAATGAAGAAAGTTGGTGGTATGTTGATAGTTTAAAATCTGTGTTGTTTTTTTTTTAAATTTCACACTATTTAATGAAAAGAAACTTCTCTGTGTACTTGATTTTCATTTCCATCCTTTTCTTTCTAATGTATCCATTCCTTTCTGTTTTGCTAGACAGCAAAGAGAGCTAAAATTGGGGATAATGCAGCAAAGATTTTTCTATCTTGAAAGTATATTCTAACAGATAGGATTAGGATGTTGTGTGGGATGAGCTCGCCTATTTCTGAGAAGCCCTTGAGATATTTTGGCTCAAAGAACTATCGTATACTGGGTTTGATATTTAGCTTGTGGTTTTAGAAATAGATGAGTTTAATATCTGCTTTTAATGAGCTACTGTCCTTTCCATCTTTCTTTAAATATATATGGCTTAATAAACATGAATTTTCTAAGTCTACTTAAGTTTTAAGGCTAGAAAGTATGCACATGTTTTACTGTAGGTGAAGAGCCAGGAACCTCTCCTTTCTTTTCTAACTGGCTACAAACATCTCAGGGGAAGTACAGTGAAGTTTACCAAACCTGCAGATGTGCTCTCCCATGTCTTGTGCTGTTCCTAGAGCTGGGAGCACTCCCTGTGCTGCTGAAGGGCAGACTGGCTCCATACCTTCTCTTACCCGAGGCAGCAGAAATGCATGTAGTCTCTTGTGTAAAATTCAAAGCTGCTTTTGTCCAAATTTTGGTACAAATACCATTGTTCATAGTAATTGCTTAAAGAAATACAAAATACCTGAGCATTCTATGTATCAGTCATATTTAAACCAAGTAACCTTCCTAATTCTTTGGGCTGCTGTCTGTAGACACTACATGATGCAGATTGTGATAAGGTAATACCTCATGCTGCTGTTAAATATAAAGTCTGGGAATATCTCTGCTGCCAGAAAAATGTCAATATCTTGATGTGACATTCACAGTGCAGAGTCCTGTTTGAATTATTAAGCAGCTATCTGCACTGTCAATGACGCTGTTTAAAATACTTGATAATGATAAGAACTTCAAACACTTAAACAAAGAATGAAGTGATGTACATACAAATTGTTCCGGGAGTTGCCGTTTGTGGCTAGAAAATGGAACACATTTTGAAATCAATCTCAGAACAGCAGCATTAGAAGGATACCATTGTTTTAAGAAAAGTTTACTTTTCAATCAGGTCTTATGAAGCAATAATTAGAAAGTGCTGCAAGTGCAGTCTGTGCATTTTTATGCTATTTATTTGTCTTGGCCACTGATGTTTTAGCACTGTCACCCTGAGTATGCAATTGAGTATGAGTTTTTGTTTTTCTGCAAATAGTGCTTATTTTGAATTATACAATGCAATTTTTCATATAGAGGAAAATCTGTGCATTTTGTTTCTCCATATTGATTTTTATTTAGACTTTCTTCAACACATGTAACAATTTATAATGCAATCAGACATTTTTTACCCTAATTTGAGACAGTAAAAAAAAAAGCAAACAACAAACTAGTCAATAACAAAAAGCAAGGTGGTCTGGAACACAGAATGCACATGATGTTTTTTACAATTCAGTTACAAAAAAAATTACGTAAATGTCAAAAACAGAAGAATAGACTCTGACTCCGGACTGTAAAAAGAGAATAACTTTGCTATTACACAGTTCTGAAATTAGATGAATTTAATAACAAGCTTTAAAAAGCTTCACAAATCTGCAGATCTGAGAAGAACTCTGATCCTCCCACTTCAAATGATGGGCCTGGAGCACTCAATATGAAGGCAAAGCTTGCTGGCTGCTGGCAGTAGAAATCCTTCCCAAGCCGCAGCCAGGCAGCAAAGGTCACTTTATGC